TCTTGAAGACTGAACATGAGGTAAAAGATAGAGTTTAACAATTTCATGTAAATTTTATACATTGGGAAGTGGTATCTTGAAGACTGAAAATGTTGGTTTCAAATATGATATGCTCCGCACATCACTTCCATGAGTTTCAAGGCGCATTACAATTCAGAGAAGGCCCGCCGAGACCCGGCGGATTTTTGCTGGGTCTTGTCGGGTCTTGGTTTAAAACTTCGTGTAACAGTTCGGGCTCAAGCATGTTCGGGCTCAAGCATGACGAGTCGCGCCGCAGTGACCATCATTGATGCGGGATGGACGGGTGCTGAGCTGGCAGTGGTATGGGGCTGGATGTTCTTCCTGCTGGCCCTCCTGCAGTGCATCTGCTGGGTCGGAGTCCGTTTATGGCATCTTCCGCGGCAACCAGGAGAAGTGGCGGAAGCAGAGGATGTCCAGCCAAAGACGAGAGAGGAGATAGGAGTGCAAACCGCAGACGCTTCACCAATACAGCGGAGGAACAAGATCCCCACTTCCCTCAAAGATTTCCCGGAGGCAAAGAAGGCCCAAGCGACTTTAGCAGCCATTGTCTCAAAAGCTCAGCCAGTTCTCAGCGACATGGAGAGATGGGGCCACTTCGAAACCGAGCAAACGCGAGCACTCAGGGGGTCCCGCCACAACTGAATGGGCCTCCTGATGATTGGACGTGGCATCAGGTTCATCGAGATGGAATTCTTGAAGCGCAGCCCACCTCTGGCCCCTGAGCGTTGCGGACTGTGGGACGTGAGCAATGTGCCAATTAAAAGACCCATTTGCAATCAAATTGACATATACCACCAGCCGCCACCAACTTTCATGTCTGTTTACCCGCCGGCCGTTCGACGTATAACCGCAGCCGCAGCCAACTTGTATACACGTGTGTATTATTCTACGGCAACTTAGATTAATCATCAGCCTCATTCTTCTGCCCGACGTTCAAGACAAATAAGGCACAAACAAACAATCAAGTTCACTGCACACTTGGTTTACCCGGCCCGCCGGCCCGACGGGTTGACGCCAACGCGTCACCTCAAGGCCAACCGGTGAGTCGCAGGGCTTCAGTAAGTGAGTCACATGTTTGAAATCATGCGGCGTGTTGGCGGCATGTTTGCATGTTTGGCTTCAGTGGCAGTGGGGCTCAAGCTTTTAGGTCCTAAGATGGCCATGGCACGAACCAACCAGGCACCTTGGCGAATGACAAGTTATTTTTGCTTAGTTCTATTATTATAATGTTTGCGTGGTCGATCACCCCGGCCAATTCATTATTAAGTG